AGTGCCTTTATATGCACAGGAACAATAATACATGTGTTCTTGTATTCATGTACATAGCTATGACAAACGAAACCCATGGTTACCACGCTCGAAGCAACGCATGACCTGTTATTGGGTCGTAAAATTTCAGTAATGATTCTTGATTCCTGAAAGAATAAGTGATCCTGTTCTTGTTAAAAATACACGGTCCTAGTTCATTTAAAAAAAAACAATACACCTTAAAAACCCAGATACCTTAAAACAATAAGAAGAAACAAATTATTGTCATATTTTTGGAAACATGATCTAGGTTTCAAATCAAGAAATGTATTGCTAAAACAATAATGATATAAATATATACGCATATGTATAAATGGCGAACATTTATTGCAGAAAAGGTCATTGACACCTGTTTCTGCGAGGTATCTTACCAGAAATTGTATTTTCAATCACCAAGAAGTTGTTTTACAGAATTTTATTTTAGTATACCCCTTTATCTTGTTAGCGATGAGCTGCATGTTTTTACTTTCTTTATTTTTAGTGAACGTTAATAGTGTTTTAAACTAACTGTATGCGCTTATGGATACAGGGTATATTGTAGAATACTTTATTTTCGCTTGGAATTGATTTTCACTATTTTTGCTGAAGGAATGATTAGGTGAAAATAAAATCCAGCGAATATACCTTTTTTTCTATATTTTACATTAAACTCATAAAAAAAATCAGTGAAAATAAATTCCATACAAAACGCCCAAAAGTCAGCGAAAATAATTCCAGCAAAAATAAATGATTTTACAGTGACTGATTTGAAAATATTCGGTGCACCGTAGACCACATCAACGCACATTATTTTAATGAGTTACGTTTCAATTATTAGATTAGGTTCTCCAACGACGAGGACATTGATACGATGTTTGCACGAGGATGCCTCGTCAATTGTCAGGAAGGCTGCGTATCCAGTAATGGTAAGTAATTCGTAATTCTTGGCAAATAATATAACAAAGAATAGATGAATTTTGTAGGGCAAAAAAAATATTAATAGAACAATTGATAGTATTTGTATATGAGCTTACTTAAATATTGTCGAGACACTACATTATGTTCTGTCCTGTTTATTGACATTAATCACTCCCTGTATCTGTGGTGGTAATATTGACAATATGTATATGTTAATACATATAGGTCACACTTATTAGAACATACCATTGACAATTGATTCTACTTCTGTTATTTTTTCACAATGTTTAAATATCATTGAAAACGGCATGCAAACTTTTCAGTTATGTTATTGTAAGTAAGTAATAGTCTTTATTGAAGTCGTATCCTAAAAATGGACATAGATCTAAGTACAATAAAGCATTCAGAATAAAAAAGAAGATACATATAGTAAAAAAAAAAACTAAACAAAACTACAACAACAAACTTGTCCGAAAGTGGGTTAGAAATGCAAATTAATAATGTAAATGTTGGGATTACTTATTTAGATATCTGTGAGGCAGCTGTTTTTTTAATTTGCTTTCTCTTAGGTTGAAACATTTGTATATGTATTTTGCTAGACATTTTTGCATGACAGTATTCGTTGTATGTTGTTAAATCTTGTATCAGTGTTTGCCTCAGAACACTGTCCAATTATGTTGAGAAGAATCTGTCTTTCACTTTTGTATAACTGACATTTTAACAGAAAGTGCTCTTCATCATCATCATTTGTACGGCATACAGGACAGCTTCTTTCGGTAATGTTAATTTTATGGTATGTGTCCATTTCAATTTGTAAATCATGTGCGCTTGGTCATTTATGATCTGTGTTGTGGGTTATTTACTGTAAGCAGATAATTTTCAAGTCCAAATTCAGTTTTTAATTTTCTATAAGTACGTAGTTTATTTGTATTGAATTGATAGCATATAAACCCATACATGGATCTGTTTTATGTAAATTATGTTAATTAGTCGTGTTATTTTTCATCAGGCAACGAAATATGTTACTTCTGTTGTGACAGTGACCTTTGTAATGGAATCAGCAATACGAATGCTAGTGTTCTACTGGTGATAACACAGCTATTTCTGGTTGTACTCAACGCCAACAAATGAAATGATATACCCAGAAACTAGATGCACAATAATGGTTTTTATCATCAGAATCCGTAAAGCCATTAACCTAATTTAACTTGTAACCGTGTCATATTTCGACATTAACAAAAGCTGTACAAATTCGAGTTGTTAATAAAGTGTGAATTTCGGGTCTGACTAACGTTTTTCGTGTGTTATTTTCTAACGCTACAAAATAAAATATATATGATGTTTCCATGGCAAATAGATGTAAATCTCTACCAACATTTAAAGGTCATTGCATCAAGAGCAATCTCTTTGAGAAAATACGAATATCCATGATAATTCTCGAAATTGTTCTTTCTTTCGTCAGCCATATCTGAATCTATTAATCAAGGGCAAACGCTCCTGAAAACTTTATGTGAATAAATAAGTTTTCAAGTTATGAATGAAAAATCATCAAAATCTGTATTCACATCTGTAAAAAAAGTTGATAATGTCGTGAGAATCCGTTCATAATGTTTTGAGTTACAAATTATTCCTATTGCTGTTTCCATGGCAACCGTACCCAAATCTGTAACAATATTGATATGTTCATGCTTGCACCAAGAGGGCATTCTACTACTAGAAATGGAAATCAAACAATGACGTTTTGAGTTATATTCCTAACAGTTAAACCAGCAAACAAACGCCAACCTCTTTGACAGTAATAATTGTTGTTTGAATATAACTTACTATTTATCACCGCATAAAGTTTATTGAAAGATTTTGTATCCATTATGCCCAGTGGTTACGTATCCTCATGATAGTGCACCTTTGGGAAATTTATAATATTCAAGATGGTGGTCAAGATGGTCTTATAGTTCTTCCTTCCTCTTATGAATCACACATTTAATTCGAGTGAATCGTTAAATCCATTGGTCAACGGAAACCTTTTAAACATTATGTTTTTACTTAAATCAACGTTGGCGCTAAAACGAGACAACATGAATACATTAAGCAACGACGAAATAATGGCTCGGATTTGCGGGACCATTCGATGTATCTATAATCGTCTGATGCTAATTCAAAATCTCACCTATGGGGTTGTTATTCTTGAAATATTTTTACAATATACAATGCTTCGCATGAAAACACATGCCTATTCAAATATAATTTTAAGCCGCGTGTTTAAAAAAACAAACAAAAAACAGGGTGACGTCAATCTGAACAAAACTAATATCATTCGCAATTATTATTTGCTTGCTCCTGATTTTCAAACTACAATAGATATATTTGCAAGCAAAGTTTGAAAAGATAAATTGTTGATATACATTGTGTTATTGTTGGTAGTGCATGTATATTGCTGACACACTTACTGAACGATGTTCGTCGTACAAGTTAAATCTGCAGTACTATTGATAAATTGAACAGAGTACCTGAATACGACATCCCCTCCACATATGTTAAATCAGCATTATACATATTGTACGTGCGTTATACACATACAACCAATCGGCGTCTTATCAGATAGGGTGACTGTTGACCACGAGTTGTGTTCACGTTGAAACCTAAACAGCAATTAAAATTAGTGAGATGACGAGTTGTAAGCTTAGTACAATACATTGGTGTTACGTGATAATTATTCACTTTTCATGTTTATTTTTAGGCTGACTTAATATGCAAAAGAGATGTAATTACATTAATTTGCCTAAATGTCATCACTTTTAAGAAAATTACGGTATGTTGTAATGTTACATACCATTTTTAATAATACTAAATATGTGATTCCTTGAACAATACTCTTCGTAGTCAAAATACTTTGATAATTATATACCAATCATCGTTTTTATTACCAATACTAATAACGTGATTCAAACTAAAGAAGTAAACCCCTCGACAAACTAGACAAATTTCAAAACGAGTAAATAAATAAATAAATGAATAAATAAATAAATAAATAAATAAATAAATAAATAAATAAATAAATAAATAAATAAATAAATAAATAAATAAATAAATAAATAAATAAACAGACAGACAAACAAACAAACAAATAAATAAATAAATAAATAAATAAATAAATAAATAAATAAATAAATAAATAAATAAATAAATAAATAAATAAATAAATTAATTAATTAATTAATTAATTAAATAATTAATTAATTTGGTCCGAATCAACTTTACTGAGTGTAAGTGTTTTTATATACTCAATGGGAAGACCAACATCACTGTACCTTTGGTGAGTGTGCCAAACTCAGCTGAGAGATCAAAATCACTGTACTCCGGGTAAGTGTGTCACAGTCTCAATGGAGAGGCTAATGAAGGCCACTGCACCTTCAAGTTGGTTAGAGTGCAACAATAATGGCGCCAATGGAACTATACTTTGGGTGAATGTTCCACATACTCAATAGGGTAGGCCAAAGCCAATGTACCAAGAGCGAGTGTGCTACAAGCTCAATGGGTCAACCAAAGCATGTGGCCGAGATCAATTCACTTGCGAATCCGACGTTGATGAAAATGTGGATAAGGTCTGCAAGTATTTGTGTTCTGTTGTCGATAGTAATCATCTGAATAGTCGTGTTGATGATGTATTGGGAATCGATTATACCAATACCAAGCAATGAATAAGCATGATTTCAGTATTATTTTGTCGAGCGCAATCTAATTTTTTCAATTTGAGCCGGTGATATCTTTTACTCTGACGCTCACCATAGAAAAAACCCCCACCATAATACGCTCGCTTCGAACCTACCGTATGATGGCGCTGCGTTATAAGGAAACTAGGAGAAACTTGAGAGGGGAGACATAGCGCCACCAACATTGAGAATGATAACTATGAGGCGAA